CCCCTCAGAATCGAAGGAGGCAAGTAAGCAGAGCGCTACCTAGGGCGCCTTCGTGATGATGGCGCCTTTAAAGGGCCTTGTTGGTGCCGCTGTAGGGTTCTTGATCTGGGATTGACTGCGAAGGCTGTGTAATATGCATACAGAACAGCATCGGCGGTCCTGCTGACGGTTGATGGAGAAGAAAGCAAAATGCAACATATCAAAATACTAGGGGCTCATTCAGGAGGGGGCAGGGAGCAAGGGTGACGTCAGGACAGACTCAAAGCTTGTTCAAAGAGGCGGTCAATTGTGTGTAGGGCACTTGGCTGTAACTTGTGGTTGTTTCGCTCAGCAGCCTTGGAATCAAAGTCTTGCAAGGCTACGAAAGTGAACCTCTCCGGAAAGGTGGCACCGCAAAGTGATCGACCTGGTCTGCTGGTAAGCAAAGCAATTATTTGGCCTTTCAGAACGGTTGAACTCACAAGCGATTCTTGAGCAACTAAGAAATAATATGCTAGCTAGGAGGATGTGAGACGGCGACTTGTCTCCCAACAATCAGCAACGCCGCTCAGTCCACATTCAAAACTTGTAAGTTTTCTTTGAAACGACTACGTTCATGACCATGTTGAAATGGGGATGTATGAGGTTGTAAAGGCGCTTGGGGGTTGGGATTGAGGGATTGGAAGTGCTTTTTATGAGGTCAAACCATTGCTGATATGAGGGCTTTCGGCCGACGAAGAGAATTGCCTGTAATTAAGGGAGGCCGCACAGCTCAAACTTCCTCTTTGTTGCGCCGAAGCAGTCTTTTCAACTGTTCATACTGCCGCTCCTTTGGTTCATTAGCAGCCCTTTCAAACAAACCCGTCGGCAAGGAAAAGACCTAGGGAATCCTTGAGATTCCTAACTCAATCCAGGAGAACCGGGCAATTTCTAAATCGTTTCTTCTTTGGCAGAGATGCAGGGGATCCCCAGCCCTTGAGCCCCCAAAGCCCTCCCCCCAAAAGAGGGCGCAATTCCTCCCCAGGGCAATGGATGCTCAGATGTGCCCCGAGTGCAAGAGGGTCACGGCATTTGTCTCTGACCACTCTGCGGGGGATACCATCTGCACCGAGTGCGGCCTTGTCGTTGAAGCGCGCGTGATTGACGAGACGTCCGAATGGCGCACGTTCTCGTCCGGAGACACCACTCGCGATGACCCGAATCGTGTGGGGGGGCCAACGAACGAACTGCTTTCTGACGGGGGGATGGGAACCATTATTTCAAAGTCAGTCACGGGGGGGGACTTCACGGGGATGAACCTGAGCCGGTGGCAGAACCGCACATCAAATCCGGACCGCAATCTGCTGTCTGCGTTTCGGACGATCTCGGAAATGGCGGAACGGTTGAATCTGGTGGTGGCGATCAAAGACCGAGCGTGCGAGATATACAAAGAGATCCAGGACAGCCAGAGCATAAGGGGGCGGAGCCAGGCAGCGATATGCGGGGCCTGCTTATACATAGCCTGCCGGCAGGAGGAGAAGGCGCGGTCGTTCAAGGAGATAGGCACCGCCACGCAGGCCGCGACGGTGAAAGAGATCAAAAAGTGTACAGCGTTTGTGGTGAACACTTTGTCGAAGCGGATGGGGGTGGTTAGCGCGGCTGACTACGTGCGGCGGTTTGCGAGTAACCTGGATTTGAAGCATAAGTTTGTCCAGGCTGCGGAAGAGGTTGTGCGACGCTTTGATGCGTACAAAGACAAGGGCAGGAGCCCTATTTCGGTTGCGGCGGGGGTGATCTTCATGCTGTCCCAACTGACTGAGGTGAGCCTTTGTCCAGGATTGTAGAGTCTTTCACAGATGGTGGAATTCATTGTTTGCAACGGGTATTGAATCCACTTGAAGTTAAATGGTTTTTGCCTCGAAGGAGAAGCAGCTTGTGTCTCTAGACAGAAAAGTCGGCTCCTAATGTTAAATTTCAGGGTTAACGAAGATAGGGCCCCAGCCCGCCTGGGGGACCTGCTCAGTTTGCTGCGGTTTGCGATCCTGGTAACAGCGCTGTCTGAAGGAAGCCGTTGTCTAGCACTGACTGAACGGACTCTTCCAAGTTCGCATTTTTTGGTGCTGCTAGCCGGATATAAAATTAAGCGAATGTGGAGAGGAACTTAAGTCAACTGCTGTTGTGATGCAGGATGACCGCAGGACCTGGAAGGAAGTTTCGCAAGCATCGGGGGTTTCGGAAGGAACATTAAAACTCAGTTATGCGGACCTGTACCCCTACAGAGAGCAGCTGATCCCAGAAAGCTTTGCTTCCCCTGAGAAGGTGCGCTTGCTTAGCGCTACGTTCAAATCTCGCTAGAAGCGTATGCACAGTATCTGGTGTACTTTAAAGAGCTTAAAGCTCAAGTGCGCTCCCGGCCAGCAATCTGACGAGAACATCTAGAAGTTCTATACAGACTTAGTGCTAGATTGACAGGCCGAAGAGATGGGCCATGAAAATCGTATGCTTTAGCCTAGGTTGATTCCAAAGGGCCAACGCACTTGTTCCCTTTTCAATGTTCACAACTGCATCACTCGGAGCTTTGAGTACGTTTTGAGAAGCTGTTCGGTGTCGTTGGAAAGTTTCAATCTGTCGTCAACCAAACGGATGAAACCAACTTGCGCTAGCATTGCCTGAGTGACGCCCATTTTCGAAATGTAACTTCAACAATATAGGGATGCGAGTGCGAACAACCTGTGATGTCTGGTTGAAGATTTCCATATGAATGTCTGCAGCGACTCATATGACAATGATGCCATCCTGTCTGATCCCTTCTCCGACATGGAGTGCCAGATATTATACTATAAGATGCATAAGCGCTTACCGCGCCAGCATATGGAGCTCTAGGGCTCAGGCTGCTGCCATGCTAGAACACGAACGCGCACATGAGTATGCAATCATGCAATGCCGCCAACGAGGGACTGCCCGGATACGTTGTGCTTGCGGGCCGCCCTCACTTGACCTTATAATCTGCATGCTTAACTCAGTGTGCGTCACTGCGCGACGGTTGGCATGTATAAATGTGATCGATCCATCTCCGACAAGGATGCGAACTTAAGCACGTGCATACTTGCTTTACTATTAGAGCTAAACATGCGCTCACATTACCGGCCTCCGCGCTTAATGACCCAACTAGTGACATAGTTCGTGATCACACATACACTAGTGATTAAGCCATGATCACTAGTAGTGACATATATGAACATGCAGTACAAATTGAGTATGCATATATTACACGATCACGAACCACACAACCGTGACCCCGTCGAACACATGCCAGTGTCACGGTGCACTCCACAGCATGTAGACAATTGTGAAATTGCACACAGTAATCAAATCTCATAGCTTCAAGTAGACGCTGGCGGTTTAAAACCAATCGGCAATGATTCCAAAAGAGGATCCTCTTTGTGTTCAAAAGCCACTCGCGTTCCTCGCTTTGGTCAATACAGCTCTCTACAATGATGCGCAACTCTACATTTGCGCGCAACAGATATTGTACATGAAAGTATCACCACTGCCTCGCAAGCAGACAGTCTTTCACTGATCTAACCATAGCACCTGATGGGGTCATTGCACCCCTTGGCTGGTGACTGAGCCATCCCCATCCGTCCTCCTTTAGACAGGTATTGCTGATGGTACTCCTCTGCCTTATAGAACCGCTTTGCAGGGAGAATCTCAGTGACTATCTTCCGATTCATCTTCTGCTGATGCTTGGCCAACGACTCCTTTGCTTCTTGCTCTTGTTGGTCGTCATAGGTGTAGATGCCGGACCGGTATTGAGTTCCAACATCACCACCCTGTAAAACACGACATAAAACATAAGAAAACCTTGCAGGCCGCATCAGCGACATACTCAAAAGTGAGTATAACAAAAGGTCGAGAACTTGCAGGACCCCAGTATTGTAAGAGTGTCTGGCAAATATTTATCCATACAAGCCAACCCAAATACCACAGCAACTTCTGCTGCTTAAAGCGCTTTTCACTTGCACGCTTTTACATTTGCAGCAGAGACTGAAAGCGACCTGCCACATACACAGTGCAATATTCAAGGGCTTCAACATGGACCCGCTGCACACAACTTTTCACAACTTTTACCACGGGCCCTGAATCAGATTGAGCAAAGGGGAAAACAAGCCCTGAAAAAAATTTCAGTGGCTCACAGCTAGGCCACTAATGGCCATCACCAAAGCAGGATCAACACAACTGTGTACACACTTGCACAATTGACTTGGCAACACAAGATGCAGACCAGATACGGAAGAGCATGCTCAGAGCCAGGCCCTTGATTGGCAAAGACAATGAAACACAAGAAATGTAGACTTCGAAGAGCGTGCGCAGATTTCAATTGCACAGCATTGTTCATGCAGAATCTCTTGGTCACTCACAGGTTTCAAAAAACACACAAGTTTCCAAAACCGAATTTCAAAAAAAGACAGCGAAGACCATGAAGCAGCTACTTCACCTGTCTGTTCAGGGTAGTCGGGTCGTGCCTGCTCCAGAACACGTCCAACAAGTTGCCATATGTGCACTCCTTGGGGTCGAACTCCACCCTCACAACCTCAGAGTGGCCGGTGTCCCCATTGCAGACTTCCCTGTATGACGGGTTATGTGTGGCGCCCTGCGTGTAACCCACCCAGGTCTTGCTAACCCCAGGCACTCTCTGGTACGCCAATTCAACACCCCAGAAGCACCCCGCACCAAACTGCGCAAACTTGTTTCCAGGTGCGGGGATGTCTGTATCAGGCTCCTGAGCCTCCGGAGCAATCTCCTGGGGGCCGCTACTCTTCCCCCCGAATGCAGATAAAAAGCTCTTCATGGAATCAGACAGGTCGTCAACACCGGAAGTGCCTGCTCGGACGGCTGATCGGCTGTTGAAGCTGCGAGAAGCGCTCTTCGGACGCCCCAATGACCTCAGACTCTGCACACTTTTGGTGGCGAGGAATGAAGATGAGATAAGCGCAGGGCAAGCAACGCTTTTTGTACGGGCCTGCAACTGGATGGAGCTCTGCAGGAGCTTGCTTGAGAGGGCGGAGGTTGATGTGGTCGCAAGGGCAGTCATTTTCAGAGGCGACAAGGAAGCGACGCTTTGAAAATGCCTGGGAGCTGCGCCTGCGCTCCCCCTTTCTTCCTCCCTACGACGAGGCTGCGGGACAAAAGCGTGGAACCTTCTTGGGAGAGGGCGTCGTGGAGCTTTTGCGACCCTCCGTTTGATCATTCCCCAATCCAACGGCCAAGGTTGATCGAGACTCAACACCTTTGTTTAGGTAAACTTCAGAGAATGAGTACCTCTTTTCGGATGAAGGTACATGTCATTGTAGCCCGATTCTGATCTACGAGTATGTATTCAGACGAACTAGGGGCGGTCAACAACACTGTCATCGGGTTCCAGCCTGCTGCCAGTGCAGGGGCCAAAAATTTGGTCCTTCGCAGGCCCACTCTCAGAGTCAGTGCGGCGCAATCCCCTTGCAATGGCCTTGGCATTGCTGATCAAAGGGGCAATTGAAGCAGCTTTTTGGCTTCTTCTGCCCCCCTTGCCAGTGGCCTGAAAAGTCAATTTCACATCGCCAGTAGAGTGTCATTTCACGAGGTTCCTCCTCATACTGGTTCTGTGGGTTTTGCCAGCAGGCATGCGTTCTTTAGGTCCCACGGGCAATAAGTACTACTGGCTGTTCTTTCTGAGCTGCCACGCAACGGCATTACGGCATTACGCAATGCTGAGCCAATTCAGACCCAGCAACAAGAGATCTACCGTATGTAGTTCCTGCCAAGCTCATACCTGCTAGCTGGCACTGAGGGCATAAACGAGCTCCAGTTTGCGAAGCATCAGCACATAGTCTGGTTGTGCAAGCCGGTCGTTTGCATCCGGCAGGATTGAATACTCCTCTATCGGTTGTTTGCAGCCGCTTGAAAGAGTGGAAGCCAGCTCTTTCGAGGAGCCTAGTTCACTATTCAATCAAGCAAGTAACCTACATTCCGTCACTAGAGAGCCTTCCGCAAGGACATTCCTGGTGCCATGGGGGCCAGTCCTGCTGATGATCTCCCCGTCATCCACGTAAAGTCCAAGGCCGAGTGGGACAAGTTCCGCTTTGAGAGCGGTTCTGAGCTGGTGAGACTTTTCATGACATTATGCTGAGATTGTTCACACCACCATGATGAGACTTTGGATTGATGTTTGTGTGATCTTCTTGCCACCCTCTTGAGATGCCCCTTTACTGTCATGGTTTTTTCTGTGGATATCAGTGCTTTGACATATATACAAGAAGAGAGATCAACATCCACGTTCAGACAGAACCTGTCCTGAACCATCTTCCTTGCCACATGTTAGCCACATCCTGCAAGCCTTTTTCACTCTGAACAGCTTAATCTGCCTCGTCCACATTGATGCCGCGGCATCTGTTGTTCACCGCGCCGTCTTTAATAGCTCCAAAACATAATAAGTCACTGTAGGAAGCCTGATTGGAAGTAAGGTAAACGGGTTTGAATACAAAGACGAAATGCGGAGGACAAAGTACAAAGGAGTTTCTATAGTGCTGTCCGCAGTGGTTCCTTGTGACTTGATAAGATGGGGCGACAGCTCTTTAGGAAAACGCCAGGGCTTCCCAGTTTTACATGTCAAGTTTTCTTCTTCCTTTCCACCTTCTTTGCTTTATTCGTTGGGTATGATTTCCATGGGGGCCAATCTCTGGTTTCTGCACGTCCTCCTGGGAAGCTTGACATACAATGGAGGACCTGATCCAACCAGGCAATGGTGGCTCAACGGCGAGGAGTTGGAATATTAACGAGTGTCAGTGTGTGAAGTTGGAAAGAGTCTGCTAAACAGTGTTTCTTGATGACAAACCCAATCTTGTGCTCAAGTAGTCTTTCCGTGTCACCCTCCCTGCTTCTTGTCAGCTGCTTAGCATCATCTATGACTTCTACAACCAGGTCTCTGAATTCTCAGCCAGGCTTTCTCAACCTTCATCATAATCCATACAGCTTCCGAAAAGGTGAACTCTGCGCCCCAAAACGCACAAGGAAGGAAAGCGAGAGAAACCGATTATGCGAAAGGCGCTTGGAAGGGACGGTTAAAGCTGAGCTCTCGGATTGTCCGCAGTTCTTCGTCGACTTTTGGGCGACTTGGTGCAGCCCCTGCCGGGTGATGTCCCCAGTGTTTGTACAGCTGGCGAATCAGCACCCGAAAATCAAGTTCCTCAAAGTGGACATTGACGAATTGCAGGTGAGAGGTGCACCGCCGCTCTGGCGACCCGTCCCCTTCTTTCGTGTGCCTTCCTCATTCATTTGATTGTTAAGTTTCTTTGACAGGGAACCCCGCTTTGTATATCCTGTTCTAGAGAACTTTGAAATCTGCTCTTCTCTGCATTGAGCGAGCTCTACCGCCCCGCCTACTTTAACGGCACAGAAGTTCCGGTTACTCGCATGTCCGAAATGGATATGCACTGCTAATATCCGTCGAGTCTGCTTGGCCGCCTTCTTCCACATCGCGGGGCGGCCTGATTGGGTTACAGTTGCTAGCATTTACAGGATGCTCTACACTCTATCATTAAAAGCTATATACAAAAGCACGAAGAAACGTCCCAGGAAGCTTTTATTGCTTATTTGGGGATTCCGCACCTCTGTTTGCACCCGGGTTGGATCAGCGACCTTCGTCTGCTTTACAGCCAAAGTTGATTGGTCGGACTCTATCCGACATGTTTAGTGGTGTGCGCTCGACGAGCCACTTGCTTCTCGGAGCGTTTTTGAAACGCTGCAGCTTCAACAAGAAAGTCGAATAGTATAGGAATTACTGTTAATGAAACACGTAGAGCGCGAGAGAGGTGAGTCCGGCAGGATGAACTCGACAGCACGGAACAATTTATGTAGCTGTCGAGTCTTGACTGGACCGTTGACGTTAACAGCCTTGATGCTTTCCGGTCATCAGGTCCCTCAAGTGTGTAGAAAGCCCGGTCATTGAACAGGATATGCCTGATGGTTCTCGATAACAGGACCTCTTCCGGCCCTAGCGCACCCAATCATCCAACGGGGTTTGTATGATGGCTTTCGAGCTCTAGAGTGCATGATTGCCCGGTCTCTGGGAAAAGGGTTTGGATATTGGATTCTTGGAACAGGGTCTCTCACGGGCAAAAAGCGCCAGTCCTTTTACGGAAATTGCCGTGTGGTTTCTCGACTTAGTAGCGAGAAAACAACATTGTCTCACTCCGGACAATGAAAGTCGGTCTCTGAACAGGTTTTCTCCTCCGCAGGATGTCGCGTTGCAAGAAAACATCATGTCCGTGCCCACGTTCCGTGCTTACCAAGGCGGGAGAGCCGTCGACGAGTTCGTGGGGGCGAACAAGCAGCACCTGGAGGCCTTCGTAGTGGCACACGTACAGACGGTGACTGCGTGAAGTTTAATGACAGGATTGGTTAGGCTGATCGCAATCACGAGAAGCTACTTGAAGAATATGTGAGAAAGTGTGAACATGCATCATGCAGTGCTTTGGAAAGATGAAACAGACACCGCTCAGAAGGCCAGCTTATTGAATACAAGTCGAATGATTATTTTAGGACTAGTGATCGAAGAGTCGAGTAGGCCGTAAAAACTGCCAGACAGCTAGCTCGACTCGTCGATACAGGACATTGGATAATGAACCGGACCAATCAGTGACTCAGTGGACGTACACATACACAGAACATCATCTTAGGATGTACGGACCCGACCGTAAAGTATCCTGAAGGAAGTGCACTGCATACTCGTAATGAAGACGTGCATCTAGACAGGCCGCGGGCCGGCACTTGCCATGTGGCGTATGCAGTTTTTTCAAGCCGTGCATGCAATCGGGTCAAGTCGACGGTTCTATCTAGTTGCAGGTTAATCAACGAACACGATTTTTGTATACTAAGTACCCTACCGTACTGCAAATGATACATGTCGCCGATCATTCATGACCATATGTTCGACGATAAGTTCATGACCGGCCACGGGCTTAGTACTTAGCTGGATATGTGCCTAGGCTGGCTATAAGAGATTATATATAATTCATTGCGTGAGACGTTGCACTAATTACGAGATTAAGGTTCATTCGATCTAGCAAATTAGATGTGCTGCCAGGGTAATGCGTCACTCATGTCGGAATTGCGAGCTCCTGCGGCGGCCGGCCTGCTCGGCATGCAGCCCGCAGGCTTTATTTTTATCATGGGATCTCTGCATGCAATTCGATCTGGTCGGATCGATCGAGCTTAACGACGCAGGGTTCGAGAACCGCGGCCGCATTGACCGCCATCATGCATGCAGTGCATGGCACATGTCGCGGCCGAATCACTGCTCGAGACTTTCCAATTGTGGCACATGTGTGCTGTCACATATATGCTAAGACTAGGCTACCTAGCTATACACGTACATGACGGTAGCCTAGTCTTGAGATATACCATGACGTAACTGACAACGGCAAGCCAAGTTGTTCGTGGCTGAAAGCACTACCAGTCTGAGCAATGAAAGGGCCATAAGAATGGCTGCGGACACCTTCACGCTTGGGCACGGAAGGTTCAGTCGTTAGTACAGGCTGTTGCACTATAAGATGAAGCGGACACTATACTACAAAAGGATGAGCGTTCTGAAAGAATCGGGCATCAACGCTCAGGATTTCGAACGTCGGCTAATCCTAGTACAAGCGTGTTCTCAAACAAGTGCGCAACTATGCATGGAACCGGCGCCAAGTACTGAGTCTGACACTATACAGGTCTGGTACGAACAATTCCGGGCAATTGCAACGGTGCGGTGTTGCAGGAATCTAGGCACTCCAAGCTTGGAACGACGTCTACTTCCGTACGGATGACCGGACCATGTTTCGGACCATCAGATTGTGCGCGGCGTTCCGGACATCTTGACGCTCAGCGTTTCGGATGATCGGGGCGTGCGGTCGGGACGCTCCCGATGTTCCTCGTCGAGAACGTAGAGGGAGGGGCTGACGAAGTCGAACTTGTTCAGACAGGCGCAGCACAGCACGTGCTCGGGGAGTTCCTCCGGCCGGTTTCCCTGCAGGAAGTTTCTGGTGTGAATACCCCGCGATCTTGAAGAGATGTTGTAATGATTGTGTACGCAAAGGGAAGAATACGTGGTTCACTTGGAGAGAGGGAGCATGAAACAGCAACGGATGGAATGGAGCAACCTAGTTGCTCAGTTGAACAGATGAGAGTAATTCAAACAAAGGGAGGAAGCCGAATGAGGGGGGTTTGCATACGGTAGTTGCTGAAACCATGTGTCAAACTGGCTCAAAGAGAAGAGCGCCTTGACCAAATTAAGCAGGAGACAACAACCCGGACGAGAGCGCTACTGGAGAAAAATTGAGGCACAGGTATGCGAAAAGGACAAAGAACAGGGATAAAGCAAAGGACCAGCATAGCAGCTGGACGCCATACAAAACGGGGAGGATTATGGACCACATGCTTGAGTCAACGAAGAAAGGAAACCGAAAGACAGTTTTCCGTGACTGTGAGATCAGATTAAAAAGGGTACAGGTCGTACCTGGATGATGAGCGCAAAGTCAATGACCATCTGTTTGAGCCGTTGCCGGAACGACTCGAGCCCCTTGCGTGCCAGAAAGCTAAAGCGATGCACGTCAATGTCAATCTCCATGTAGTTGTCCTCCTGCAAGCAGAGTTTGAACCCGGAAGCATTAGCAACCGGTACGAAACATTGAAAGTCGGTTAAACGCGTTGAGGAACCAGTTAAAAGCACCAGGGCTCAGTGCAGACTGTGCTCCAGACCAGGTCAAAGTAAACCCGTGCACCTGGATGAAAATTGCCGCGGTGGTAACGGCACGTGCTTCCTAATCGATATGTGCCAATTCTTTCAAATCACTAAGGCTCAAGCGTACACCGCTTCCTTATGACAGCTGTCAGAACGGATGGAAGGAGAACACTGACTCCCGGCGGACTCCCTAGATACCCCCTTCCCACTACAACCGCTTCGACCGACGGTCAAAGTCAGCAGATGCAATCAGCCTACTGTAGACCGTCGATCCTAGAGGGGTATCGGTAGGAGGGGTTTGTAACATCGCTCGGACTTCCATGTTCTCCCTCCTTCCGTTCTGTCAACAGGTGCAAACTCGCTGCCAGGTTAAACCAATCGCACCTGGAAAAACACGTGCTGCGGGCGCGAAAGAACGGGCTTCCCGTTGTAGTTGGTCGCGAGCTTCCGCTCCGTGAGGCTCATGTCGACCTCGTCCACGTTGCGCATGCTCGCAATCAGCTTCAGCCTATCGCGCAGCGACACCTGGCTGCCCATCAGCCCGACCTTCTCCTGATCGTCCCCCAGAAACCGCTGTATGACAGAGGAACGCTCTCGCTCAAGTCTAATCCAGACAATCTTTGGTTCTTTACAAATATGGGGTCAGCATGTGTCTTTTGCTATAAAGCAATTGGCTACCCACCAGCCCAATTGCGTCTTGCTCATCAGCTTGGGACCGCTGCACAGCGAAACAGGATGTACAGCTCTCGTCGACTCTAGCAGTTGCTAAAAGCCTCGACGTTCTGGATTAGTCAGAGCCCAGCGTGGAGCGACAGCTACCAGTGTATTGCCTGTGAGGTTTGTGTTCGCGTTTGCCCTATAAATTTACGAGTTGTTCATGGGCACTAGCCCGACAATCTCCAGCTTGCACCAAAAGAAACCAACATCTGCTCGGTACGGGGATGGACCAGTTCGTGACATCCTAGACATCAACCAAACGGCTTCGATCAACCACGGGGTGACACCTGTTTGTCTCGACTTGTCAGGCCTCATCCCAACCCTGCTCTGCAATGGCCTCCTCGGGTATCTTACGACATCCCCTCCTACCATTAGCGTTCATTCAGTGGAAGCTCATAGATTTGCAGCGAACCGGTCCGACAGAGAAAACCCACCTTGAGCAGCGCAAACGCGGCCGGGGGCGGATTCTTCTCAAACTCCTCGTTCAACCGGAAGCACAGAATCACGTTGAACCCCTCCCCGTCCTGACCCTCCGCCCCCCCGAAAATGCTCGGGGGGTAGAGCGGAAACTGCAGGTTGACCACTAACACGCGTGGTAACCCGTCCCGCCCAAAGGGCTCGCCCCGGCACGGGATGTCCATAAGCTGGGCGACGTGCATAAGCTTTCGGACGGAGTGGTATACGTCGACCGCGAGGAGCTCGTATATCGGGTGCATCATGGCCAGGATCTTTTTCTTATCCCTGAGTGGAAAGGAGGAGGGTGAGGGACTATTCTTTAATTGTCACATAAGAAGCACAGTCAAATTTCGGAGAAGGGTGCTCCTGAGATTTGTTTTCGGAACAGCGCTAACGGAAGAAGGAGGAATACAAGGACCAACTTGTGCTGTCATTATTCCGTAAAGACTGTAGGACACCAATCCGCCTCCAAAAACAAAGAAGCAGAATAGAGACGGAGAGAGACCGCTTTGCCAAAGCGCCTCCGGCAGTAAAACGTAACGTCATTGGGACCGAACACGACAAGCTGTCTCGGAACAACGTTAAGAACGACTAGCTGATGTCATACACGTAAGCTGTGGTCCCACAAGGAAGGGAACTTGGCCATGATGTCCTTCAAATACGACATCTTCGAAGCAAATCGAGAATCACGAATCAAAAAGTCTGGCCGAGCATGAATGGTTGACATCCCCACAAGGTGAACCTAGATGACCAGGAGAAGACTTTGCACGCTTCAAGAAGACTGTCACCGACGAAACCGTCCCTTCCATTTGCATTCTCCCACTAAGATACAGCAAGCAGACAAAAGCGCAGAAGTCTCACTTCATGTACGTCTTTCCCCTCAACACGAAGCTCGCCGCGTCCACTTTCGTCCAGCACCCCTCCTCTAGTTGCCCCATCTCGCACGCCCTCACACTCTCCCCAAACCGCGGCATGCGCACGACCCTCCTCCGCCCATCCGGCGTTCCCTCGCCGAACCCCCCCGTTCCCGAACTCCGTCGCCCGAACATCGAAAACTTCTTTTCCTTCCGAAAACTGCTCCGCCGGCTGTCGGGCCGCTCGAGCCCGATGCGGATCTTCGGCAGGCACACGATGCCCCCCGACGTGGACGGCTCCTCTTCGGGGGGCTCCGGTTCGCTCCACCGGCGCCCCCCCTTCTTTTCGGGGGTGTGCTTCCGGCTCCCCGTCGACGTCTTCCGCAGAATCTTCGGAAAGTGGAGATGCGGCAAAACGTGCCCATCTTCGGTGGTCCCCCCCCGAGGGGTCCCCGGAGTGTCGCCCACACGCAGCGGGGGGGGCCGTTTCTCCTCGATCCGACCCCCCCGTCCCGGCCCCGGATCCGACATCCTCCGACTCATCGTTCTGATTTCGTGCTGTTCGTCCCGGACCTCTCGCATGTTTGACGCGTTCTCCCCCCCGTTCCTCTCTGGCGTTTTACCCCCCCCGGATGGGGAGGGCTGGTCGGGGCCCAGAGAAGAGGGTATTGACGGCAGTCGCGCGGTGAAGTGCTCCCGCAGGTGTGAGTAGGGCACTCGCCGCTGTTCGGGGCTTTGGCCGTAGATGTTCTCGAGGGTTTCGGAGTTGGCGAGCTCATACTCGTCTTCCGAGTCGGTGAACGTGACTTGGCAGTCGTGGAACACCTCGTTTGCACCTGAACAGATTTTCTGAACTTTCAGCTGGTGCACTCGGAAGAAAGTTTTGCTGAAAGTCTGAAAAGATAGATCAACACAAGATCCTGAAGACAAAGGCTTAGGAGGCAGATCGAGGCTTGTTTTAGGGAGTGGTTAAGAGACAGCTGGGGGTAAAGGACCTCGTTTGTGCCGGCGGAAGGTGAATATCGATGATCGAGGTAAAATTGACTCAATCCCCGTGCAAACAAGTTAGATTTTAAGATGTAATACGCAACCAAGAGTGAGCTTCTGTTAGCACTTCGAATGATCCGTGAGAGTTACTTTATGGTGTGCTGGTACAACCGCCTTCTCAGCCTGGTGAGAGCTTCGTTGGATCCTGACGGAACCTCGTCAGAGGTATTCTGCAAGACACTGGGGCACTTACAAGAATGATGAACCGAGAGGGTTTTCCCGTGGAACCTGGGAAGCACGGCAAGATCTTCTGGACCGTAAAGCAAATGTTTAGATGCTTTGGGGCAGTATGGCAACCAGCAAACATGCAAAAGCCTACACTTGAGCAAGTGGTGTTCTAATCAACCAGATGAAGTGCACTGTCAAAGTCGTGAGACTCGGCACCACATCTCATCCAGCTTTTGTAGCATCCCAAGGCTGCTCAACTTCACAGTAACACAAACAAAAGGATTCACATTTTAAACCAAGTTCACGACCTGTTCCCAGGGAAGTGCATGGCCGGCTGGCCAGCTACAGAGACTACGGCTTGGAAATAGCATGGGGCTTCTTCAGTCACAGAAGGCGAATAAAGAGAGACTGTGGTATTCCAAAGGACGACTGCCGATATATTCAAAGGTCAGGTTATTGTCTACATCAACAGGTCGCAACCTGCAACATCCACGCCTCTCTTCTGGAATTATACAGAGAAAGCTTCTCTGAAAAGACGAAAGGAGAAGGCTACATTGTGTCCCTTGCAAGCTACGCTGCTGTCAACAGGATTCTGCTCTCCAGGAACCTCCCCTTCTTACTCTGGCCCAAATAGTCGCCCTCCATTTTTCAAAGAAACAGAACAGACAAACCTAGTAAACGAGAAATAGACTTTCTGGCGAATAAGTAGCTTTCTGGCCAAAAATTGCTGCGATAAATCTTGCTTCAGAAAGGTGTCACTCTGCTTGAAATGCATGACCGCCACAACCTGCGAGCTCTCCTAATCTAGCCATTCAAACCTTGGTCCATTGTCCAGATCCTTTGTTTCCCTCTAACATCTAACGGACCCGTCGCCTTTAAGGCACCTGCAAAGGTTGTCCCTCAGACACTCTAGTGATCAAACCAAAGCCTGAACCATCCCTGAACAACAAACCTGGTAATCAACCAAAACCCTGAACAAACCCTAAATGGAAAGCTGCGGAGCAGAGCTTTCCCGAGCAAACTCACTCAGCAAACGCGCCATCCGGCTCCTGGGCGTCCCCGCCGGAGTCCCATACATCGACGCCGCATCCACGCTGCTCTGATCATCAGTCTCAGGGGTCACTTGACTTGTGCTCACTGCCGCCTCTGACTGCACTCGCCGGATGCTGACGTCATTTTCGCCGCCGGCCCCCGGAAGCGTGACGCCATTCTGCAGCTGGAAAGCGACGGTCCCCTTCTTCTTGCGCCCGCGCCCCTTCTTCACAGCTGGTGCATGGGGGGCGGCACCTGGCGTGTCCCTCTTCTTGGAGACACAGCCCCCCATGTGAAACCCTCACTCTAGTCTTAAGAGCTGACCAGATAGTGAGGGTTATTGCAGCAGTTCTTTCAGCATGTCGGCTGAGGAGTCCTCCCTCCCTGGCTGTCTAACCAAGAAAATGTGGGGTATTGCAAATTGTCCCTTTAACCCCCTCAGAAACTCTTTGACCCTAAGGCTCAGCTGTGACCAGGTTAGAAGCCTAACAACCGCTGCAACGTTATATCCTTCTGCAATGTCTTGTTTGCAGATTTTCAAGCTCAAATTTTCTCAGACCGTCCAGCACGTAAACTGGATTACAATGTCCATGCAGCTATCTAGATGCTCCAGTAATGGGATCAGTTGCTGAGAAACCCAAATCACAACCGGTACAGACCCAAATTGTATCAAGGACAACGCCGACAACATCAAGAGCTGGGTCTGCCGTGACGCTTTGAGAAGACAGAGTGTTTCAGAGACTAATTCTCAGAGTATCACGGCCCCCTCAGTTGCCTGCCCGTCGAGGGTTGCAGATCTCACAAGCTTTCAATCTGCAGTGGCACCCCTGGATCCCTTTCCTTTGTGAAGAGCTCTGCTGATGCTGATGCCACATGCGCCAATGGATGGTAGCCTCCTTGCTGCCTGTCGCCATTGACTCCAGAGTCCAGGACTCTGAGTCTGAGTCTGAGGAACTGGCCAGCGAAGAAGTACGAAATGAGCTCAGCGCCAGCCTGTCATGCCCGCTTCTTCCGCATTGACACTGGTCCAGATTCCAGAACCTGAGGCTGAGGTTGCGGGTCAACATTGTGGTGGACGGATCTGGTGTCAATAATGCAGCTTGACGGCAGCTGCGAGCTTGACTCCGATGAACCCCCAGCTCGATGCCGTCGGATGAACCTTGATATTGAAAGCCTGCCGTCCGATCTGTTTTTCGCAGAACTTGTGTCTTATACAATGTAGCCCACTGACGTCAGCAGGCTGCAGGGCGGTGCAAAAAGACATGTGCCTTGCTTCTCGAATCGCAGCATCGGGATTTCCAACCTCGTGGAAGGTCGTCTTTAGCCTTAGTTAGGGGTGAATCTAGGGATACAGCATAAAAGAAAGCTGGTGAAAACTTCAACTTGCTTCCCTCCGTTTGAGTTCAAAACCTTTCGAAATTCTCAGAAGACACTCATCCATTCAATACGCTCTATATCCACGACCGGACTCACCTTAGATCTAACAGTAACTCGAACTTTCGATCCAAGCAGGATTCCCAACATTAGCAGCTGCAATATGGCAGAGCCGGTCCGGTTCGGCGTCCTCGGCTGCGCAAACATTGCAAGGAAAGTGATCCGTGCAATGACACTAGCGGAAGGCGTGGAGGCGCATGCTGTCAGCAGCCGGTCCCTCGAGAAAGCGCAGCGGTTCGCTGAGGAAGTGGGAAAAGCTACGGTGCGAGACGTCTTTTTCTAGTTTACTTGCCTTTTCGTTTCTTGTCTCATGCAAGCGGTTTTGAGAGGGTGCAATCCGTACAGTGGTGTGTACATCTTGAGGGGGGTTAGAATGTAGTGGTGGTTGTCGGTGAGGAAGTTTAGCAAATCCTGCTTACGGGCCCCAACATTTTTGCATGCACATGTTGACCACATTATTGGACCGCTTCAGTACCTCGGTTTTAAACTGCTGAAAGAGTTCTTTTTTGAAGTGTCTTGACAGGCAGATGCCACCATGTTTTTCAAGAAAGTTTTCTAGCTGAAATTCTACACTCCAGCTAGGTATGTAAGTTAGACTTACACTAGTCCTCGATGAGACAATAGACATACTTTGGACTACCACCATCAAACAGTATGGGTTCAGAAGATGTCTAAGCAGCATCAACCGGCCATTGGTCGGGGCGAAGCATGGTGGGGGCGAAGCGCAGGTTCCACTATTTTGGCAAAACATGCCAAAGGGGCAAGCTTTGCTGTCACTGTATGATGTCAGAAATTCTGAGCCCCGCAAGGACCTTGTAGATCCAGACTGAAAGTCAGAATCTCACCGGTGGTCTGTATGCTGGTTTGAAAGGGTTTTGGGGTTCTTAGACCCCGAAAGTTTTAATTGTAATTGCTGACACTGAAAGTACACCAGGTCAATCCTTCGTCCTTTCAATTGAAGCAAATGTTAGCCTCCAATGCCCCCTGTAAAGCCACGAACATTGATCATGGTGGTGACTTTGACGCGCCCACTAATGATGATTTCAAACTTAACCTGCCAGACCCTTGATGCAGGGAAGAACGCCCACTGTCAGCGTATCCAATATGAAGCAAGTTCAAGAAATCCTATCAACAGTCATAGCGGCTTACTACCGTCGAAGCAGTCTGTTTTTCCGATAATAGGGTGTAAAAGCAAACTGGCCCCATTATGCTTCAGGTATCTAGCTTGTCAGATTGAGTTTGTATTCTAGTCTTCAATGTTGTCACTACAGCGCTGTTGCCCCCGTTTGTCACTCTGACCTTATCATTTATCATTGACTAGGCTTCTTCATGCAGGGAGCAAAGTTGATTGCCTACGGTAGTTACGAGGAGCTGCTGTCCGACCCACAAATCGACGTTGTCTACATGCCCCTCCCCACCAGCCTGCATCTAGAATGGGTACAAAAAGCGGCCGCGCAGAAGAAGCACGTGCTGCTGGAAAAGCCGCCTGCCCTGACCCTGGAAGAGATGGACAAGGTTAGTGGCGGGTTAGTACCTGGTTAAGAAGTTCTCCAAGCGAAGCTGCGGTGTGCTAAGGCCTTGCCACACCCTGAGTATTTGGTGTCGAGGATTCTGTGAAGATGGTGGATCATACTGTCTAGGCTTCTGTGCTTAAACCTGGAACTGGTAAACATAGAACCTGGTGAACAAACGAAAGTACAGTCGCTAGGATTCTGGAAAGCGGAAGCGTAAAAATGGGGAAACGGGCATCTCTAGGCGTAACCTGTGGAAAGTCAGTTTCGGGGGGTTTCGTTGGGGTTCTCTTGCTGAGGGTCTTGTATCGAGCTGAGGGTCTTGTATCGAGATGAGAGTTATTGAGAACCAGGGGTTTACAATTTTGGATCTCTCAGCAACCTCAAAGATAGTTGTGTCAAGGGGAATAGTAAACCTGTACATGTGCTATCTGACTGAAAGGGTAATTGCTTCAGCTTTCATGCTGTGCAGCGATGTGATGTCCCTTGCTGAAGTGGAAGTACGTGCGTGTGTCAGAAGTAGATGTAGGTTACTCTGAGAGTCTGTCTGTCCAAGGTCTGTTTGCATGAAAAGTATAGAATTCAACGGCGAGAGGAAGGGTTGTTGGCCTTCCGAAATCTCCATATTTTCAAGCGAAAATTGAAAACGTAGGATTGTCTTCCACTCTGGTGCCTGGCAACTTCAGGAGGCGCGGATGTCAGGGTCACCTAGGCCACTGTTTGTCCATCAAAGTCGACCTGAGACTATTTTCATCGACGGATTCGGTTTTGGGGTTCTGATGTACCTTATGAATACTCCATCGCAATGTTGTGACCACTTTGCCAAGAAAGTCCAACCGAGACGACGTTCGTTGACGGATTCAGATCTGGATTCTTGATGTACCTTCTGGTACTCCCTCGCAGAGTGTGAAGCTGCAGTTGAGCCACGTTTCTTGGAAGAAGTACATCAGAGAGTCTCTCACCTTGCTGTTTGGGATCCTTACAGATCCTGAAGGTTTGTGAGGACGCGGGCGTTCAGTACATGGACAACAGCATGTGGATCCACAACCCCCGCATGGAGGCGATTAGAGCGGCCAAGCAAAGCAAGGAGGTGAGCAGTCCGCATGGCAACTCGTCATGCAGCTCTTTTCGCCAAACCTGCCATCGAAATTCAAAGGCTCCGAGCATGGTGTTCCTGATTGTGATCCGTGCGATCGACGACGAGGAGGGCATCGGACGGCTCAAGATCAGGAACCATGCTTGGAGAAGGCCGAACCGATAGCAAGTTCGAAGCAAGCAGCTGTCAATTGCTGGTCTTTTTGGCGCTTGTACAAGTGCAGAGTTGGGCATCCTTTTGTGCATCTCGGAGACGAGGTACTTACAACCGCCAAGCTCTGCTGATGTTTCTTGTTACACTGGCGGAAAGGACAGGTATTTGCGTATTCGACTGAAGCTTGGATTGCTCCATATCGTCAGGTCGTCCCTCATGTCGGTGTTCTAAATTTGAAGATATGCAATTCAGTCAAGTGCATCTGGCTTCCCCTCCTGGTCTTTGAATTGCCGCACTTCGAAACTTTCATCTGACACGTATCTCCCAACAGAGTGATAAACACTGAGCGTTGTCTTTTCTATTTTATTGCAGAACTTTGGACAAGTGTTGCGCTTCGACTCGTCCCTCCACTTCCACCTCCCCCTCCACTCAGGCGACATCAGACTGGATTCTGCGTTGGATGCCTTGGGAGCGCTCGGTAAGAATAGAACCCGTCAACTTTTTCTTGTTTGTTGCTTTATTTGCTAGCATCCTTCGTTAGAGTGCAACCAGCAAAGAACATCACTCACACCTTACGGGCTTCTTCCTCCGTCATGTGAAATGCTTGACTGCGTTTGGAGTCGTTCAGATGCGTGTCAGGACTGGAGTAGAGCATAAGCCTCCGTGGATCTGCGAAATGTTCGTTATGCTCGCAATGGGAGCGTGATTGTTACTCTTCGGTCCTTGCTCCCAATCCTCTTCTACCGACATCGGATATTAATTGAAGATTTCGAATCGCTTTTTCCTCCCAGAAAAGTCTCGAACTGGCGTCAGTTGACGCAAGCCTTCAGACAATTATGGTACTCGACTCAGCAGATTACTACCGAGCACTGAACGAGGTCTTGTCTTTGTCCAGCATTAAACAAGGCACCCTCCCTTGAGATTGGCATTGCTTATGTATGGCTGAATTTCGTGTGTGAACTTTTGGGGTCTCGCGAAACTGTCTGTTGACGTCTCGTTGTATCCCGTGACGTCAGGTGACGTCGGCTGGTACTGCATTGGCCACTCGCTGTGGGCGATGGACTGGGATCTGCCGCAAAGAGTGGTCGCGCAGCCGGGGACGAAAACGTCAAAAGGCGGGGTGATAACCAGGTAGGTCATGCTAACCCATGTTTACCCCTTTGTACCTCTTATTCTCAAGAAAGCTTGAGATACGTAAAGCCAGAGCTGGAAACTCCGAACGCCGCTAATTGCAACAGTAGTTTGTACGATGTAGTTTGTACGATGAAGTTGCTAGAGCTTCAGATGAAAAAGGAAATGGGCATTCAGGTATGGTCGTGTCTTCTTTGTACCTTGCTTTTGCGCTTGCTTAATCGGCGTTTGTAGATGCGGCTGCATGCTTCTACCTGACGCCATGTTTGCTGCAGTCCGTTCCTGCCTCTGCTTCTACTGAACGGGGCAAAGTCAGCCCGGAATTCTTCCTTTCAAAAACCTCTGCGTATTGACGAAAAAGACGTTCACAGTTCTTTGAAGAGCATCAATTGGTTACCAGGTTGCGGCATCGTTGATGCTGCAACACTGGTTCGGTTGTTGCTGCGAAGATTTGACTGCGTATTGTCATGGCGACAAGCACAATGCCAATACACGCCTCTTGGTCGCCGGGCACTGATGCTTGCGCCAACGGCCTAGTCAAACCGTGTGCATTACCAGCGGGAATCATGGTCGTTCCGTCACCTTCTAGTACATCAAGCGATCGCTGGCAACCCTGGTCATTTTACAAACCTGTGCGCAAGCCAACACTTAGCGAGTTGATTTGCAGCATCGGCGCAACGCTTGTGTGGGCGGACGGCCGCGTCGCCACGTTCTACTGCTCGTTCGAGGCCGCGTGGGGCCAGCAAGCGTACCTCGTCGGAACGAAGTGAGTCCTACGCAGGTCCCCCGTGCTGACGTCATGCTTAGTACAAGCTCGCGATAAACTAGGCCCCCTGTCAAGCCTTTCTCGCAGGATACTGAGTGGGTATTGGTCGTTCGGTACGTGCAGGCGAGAAGTTGGATAGACATATGCATGCCTACTTGAAATAACCTTTTTTTATCAGTCGGTAGAAGATTCGCTTGGAAACTGGTACTGTCATCTTGATGACTCGTCAGGTTCTTTGTTCGAGGCTCTCGCGGTGATTATCCAACATGTCCGGCCAGTTGCGACTGAGAGATCGGGTTTAAATAATATCCAAGCGACTACGGAGCTTGTAAAGCTTATTGGAGGCGTAAGAACGTGGTGCAATGCCTGACGTTGGCTTTGTCATCCTGTATCGCGCTCTTCTCTCCTTGTCTTGGTCGCGAGGCTTCTGTTTTTGAAGGGAGCCCCCGTTCCTTAGCCTTAACTTTAAAGTTAACCTGACCATAACCTTAACCTTAACCTTAACGTTTACCTTAACCAGAACCTTCACCATTGTCCTTCATTACGTGTGCCTCGGCGCTCCTGAGTCTCTGAGCTTTGCATTCTTTTGGTGCGGCTCTGACCGCCTCTCAATTCTGCAGCGGCCACATACATTGGAACGACCTCTGCATTCCGATGCGGGAAGACTCGTGCGCGTTTGTGACGTCATCAAAGCCGTGAGTCTACCACTGCCTCTGCCGCCTCAGGACCGTTTGAAAAGCAAAGCTTACGCACGGCTGACGTAAGCCTTGGTCTTCGAATATGTGCCTCAGATTTACCTTCATACTCGCGTCCTGGCTTATAACCCTGTTTGTCATGGATGCAAGTTATTTCCGCCGCTTATGTCTCAAACGAGAGACTGCGAGATATGTAAAATACATGTATGTTGAGCAAGCACGAAGAGAGTCAAAAACAGACCCATGAATATGGAATTTACAGGTGAAGAATATTTGAGGGGGGAAGGTTATGCCTTTTATGTGTAGCGTATCGTCAAACTCACGCCGGAATTTGACAATCATTTGAAGTTCTGAACGCTCTCCAGAGTCCCGCCTGCCTGAGCGCTGACCTTTCACTGTGGGTTTTCTTTCCTACAAGACCTTCTTTTAGGATCGCAACCCTCCTCTGGTTCTGAATGAGTGTGCTTCAAAGAGAAGGCAGTTGCCTAGCGGTCTGGCTCCGTGTGTAGGTCTAGTTCAACAACGATACAGTGGACTTCGAAGAATACTGTGCGTTTGCCTGCCTTCCTGGAGATTTTCCTTTACCAAGAATTTTCGCTTTGGAAGCTGCTATTGCGATGTCGAGGGGCGTGGGAAGCTGCAAAATGTTTGCAATTTAACATCTATTCTCCGATTCTGTCAAAGGTGAGCTCTCAGACATTGAACGACATCAACCGGCAAAAGTGGGGTGGGAAATCCTTCTGGACACAGAACGGCGCCAACTCGCCCAAAATCGCCGAGATTTGGCGAACTTCGCGAGGAAATTTTGCATTTAGAATCTGCGACTCTCCTCGTAGGGGCCTGATCAACAGCGACACTGAAGTGAGCAACGAATACAGGGAAACGCGGGTTGACCTGCGAGTACCGCAGGAGGCGCTAGTGTTGGAGGACTTTGCGGCGATCGTTTCCGGGTTGAAGGCGGGCAAAGAGGCCTTGGATTCCAGGTGGGTTCGCAAGATTTCCCCGTCATTCTATTTCCTCCCTTTGCTCTTTCTGTTCGTGCGTCCTTCCTTTCCTTTTTCTCATCAACTTTCACCGTCTTTCTCCGTTGCCTTGACATACTTTCTCTTCCTTAACATCGCTCGTTTTCCTTCTTTCGCTTCTCCTCTTTGAATACTTTCTGCGCATGTCTTTCCTGTGCTTTCGTCTTAGTTTTTATCAAGTTCTCGAGTCGTCGCTTTGCCATTCCAGCGTCAGGTCATCGAGCTTCCGCGTTGAGATGCCGAGTCACTAACTTACCTGAGTCACGAGACATCAGTTTTGCAAAGTAAGTCCTCAAGGTTGGATAGAGTTGGCGCGTCCTCTCTGCCAAGTGTTGCTCATGCAAGCAGTCAACAATGACGGCTTTCGAACTCGAGCGGTCATCAAACGGGGACAGTTTGCGCTCCAATCAGCAATCCTGGATCCTGCGATTATCTTTACCATCGAAACCGAGAAAACAACTTCTCCCTAACGCCTACAAGCTATCAGCATCTGGACCGTGCTATTCAATAGCAGATATGCGAATCAGTCCTATCTCTCCGGCGAGGTCCGGTATATGGCCTGCTTGACAGAGACGTCTTCCATTGGAGCAACGCTTGCATTCTGACCCCCAACTTTTCTCTTGACAGATGGCCCGAACGGTCCTACAAAACTCTCCGCGTTTTGTTGGCAGTAAAGGACTCGTACGACAAAGGAGAGGCGGAGATTCGGGTGACGTGACAGCATTGTTGAAATTTTTGGGATCATGCCGTCTTTGGCGAGCTTTGAACGGTTGTCATCACCAGCTTGGCAGCAATGCAGAGGTAAAGAGCTGATGCTACATCGTGTGTGGAGCCCAAGTGCAAGAATGTGAAGCACCTGTGCACCTTATACATGCCAACTAGTCGTGCTTTTGACCCCATCAATAGCCATTACAGTTACATGTAATCAGTGACCGCGTACGGTAGTCACAGCATGTTCTTCTGCCGCGAAGGATCAAGGATCGATGTTCTCATGACATTTCATGCCGCGCGGCGACCCGATCGGACCGGCCATGCTGCGCGGCCGCCTTAGTATATATAGGGCTTATGGTACCGTACGTCAATTGAACCGAACCTTTCGGTCTGAGAGGATTCTGTGAAAGGTTAAAGACCATCCTGAGACGGGTTAGGGTTGACTTGGAAGTTTCAAGGGGGGGTAGGAAGGGAGTACGGAGCCTGGAAAGTCCGGGTTTGGTTTTATGGTCAAAGTTTGAGATGCGAGTTAGGGTAACTGGTTACGTCTGGGTTACGTACTGTATTCAAATTGTACATACTACAAACAATAACGGCTTTGGTTTATTTTCGGCCCGAATTAATACGCAGAGTATGACGTCGTTCGACGCGTGGCAGCCAACTTTGACCACGTCCTGCGCTCTCATTTGTTCAATACTCTATCACGTGGTTCCTATGCAATCATTTTAATGACCGCAGTCCGCAATCTCGGGATGCGTTCTCCCGATCGATCAATGCGAGTATCATTGATCGGATCCCGATCCAACTTGCGCCAAGCGGCTATGGCCGCCGGAGCCATGGAGGCAGGACACAAAACAGACGACCTAGGGCCCATGCAGGGCCATGGCAGCTGCAATTTCTGGATGAGGCCAACTTTTGATCGTTGGCAGAGCCATCACTCACCCTTGCAACGTCCTGTTGATTGATTAGCGGCTCGGTCTAGCAGAGCTGTCAACTGAGCTGAGGGTGTGCAGAAGCAGACAACCGCATTGCGAGGGATGCACGTTTGCAATGGGAAGGGAGACAATGACCAACGCTGCCGAGCCAGGAGCGCAGTCTTTCATTCTACTTGTTCAAGCTGCTAATGATAACCCTAGCCGTTCATGTTGATGGGAATTGGAAACTTCCACCTTTTGAGGAAGGAGGACAAGCACTGTGAGGAAGGAAACCAGAGCTTTGGAAAGTAGAGAAAGAAAACAAGCAATACCATTTTGGGAACCCTCAGTTCAGCTCAGACTCCTAAAGTGCAGTCATGGCATTTGCAAATTCTGTTCTAGGACGGCAGACTGAGACCTTTTCGCAGCTGTTTGAGATGGGCAGGGAACTAGGGAGGGGACAATTTGGGATCACCCGCCAGTGCATTGAACGCAAGACGGGCACTGTGCATGCGTGCAAGCTAATTGCAAAGTCAAGGCTGCAGCCGAATGATTACATCCTGAGGGAGGTGCAGATTATGCATCATCTGGTGGGCCATCCGCATGTGGTCAAAATTCAGGTGGGTTTCCTCAACCCCTTTGAATTCTGAAAAGAATACCAAAGGATGCCGGATAGCACTTGGGGTCTGTCGCAATCATGTTGATATGCCTTCTGGAAATGAAATGTATTTCATGGGCCTCTGCCCAGAAATGACGTTTTTGCAAGCTATGCTTTGTAGCATTGCACTTTTCCCTGTCAGTGCTGCATCCCCGCACCTCGAATGCTGCTGCATTGCCACAAATCGATATTCTCATCCACCGCTTTGGACTTTTGAGCTGCTAGTTTTGTCCTGGCTGCAAAGCAAGAGTCTAGAAGAGAGAGTGAATAAGAATCCCAAATGCTCGTCATGTCAAATAAACGCCTTTGGTGACAATCTGCTGGCGCAAGTCTCTTGCTTGTCGATTGAGCCAGCGGAATTAATGCAAATTGGGCAGTATTAAGGCCTTCTTTAATTCAAAGGTGTGGTAACAACCAGGCCCCTCAGCATTGTCTGGTTTGCAGTTCCAGTCATTGAATTAGAAGAGTTGAGCTCGGCGCTTCTGTTTCTGAATTTGTCAGAATCAAGCTCAATCATGCAGTTTCTGTTTAAGTTGCAATGAGTGGGTCGATCGCACAATGAGCCCGGCATGAATCTGGCAGATGGTGCTCAGTGCTGTCCAAAGCCTAGACCCTATGTCTAAACCCTACTTTCTAAATCCGAGTAAGCATTAGGGCAGAAATCCTTGTCGGTTTTACCAAACCAAAAGTTCTAGGCTTGATGTCACATGGAAATCTAGGAGTGGGGCAATTGAGATTCATCACTTGTTGCTGATTCTCGGAGCATACTGTTCATCAATGCAACGGAACGCAAATCCCCGCTGTCAAAACAGGGGGATACTCATCCCTCATCTCCTCTCCTTTACGCATTGCACCCCACCCTCGTCAACTCTCTTCTTGCAATCAGAAAGTCCGCAGAAAAGGTCTTTTCTGAGGTGCACTGCTTCTAAAATGCCACTGTAACAGCCACCTTTCCCAACCCAAAGTGCTCTAGTGACTAACAGCAACTGCAATCTTTCCACTTCCCCGCAACTCTGACTTTCAAGCAGTATTCACATGTCGGCCCCCTCAAAAGCGCCGCATCAGCCTCGAACGAGTAGTTTCGGCTACGCAACATCATTTTTCAGCGCAATTTTCTGCGGTCTCATCGACCGCCCAACCCCACAGGGCGGGGTTCGTACAAAGACCACGCCTAGTTCTACATTTCTTCCCACGCCCCATTCAGCATCATATGGATCTATCAGTCGACAGATTCCCACAGTAGGGTGCTTACGAGTCCCCACAGCAAGTAATCACATCTGGCCTCCCTTTGCAAGCGCCCTCCGCCTCAAACCAGATTTCCTCCCCCCCACCCCCCTAAAAACAGGGTGCGTACGAAGACCCCCGCCGCGTGTACATCGTCATGGAGCTCTGCACGGGGGGAGAGCTGTTCGATCGTATCGTCGCCAACGGTCGCTTCAGCGAGAAAGCCGCTGCTGCTCAGATCGCTGACATTGTCGGAGTCGTCCAGCACTGCCACCAACTAGGCGTGATGCACTTGGACCTGAAGCCGGAAAACTTTCTGCTCGCGAGCGAGGACCACGACGCGCTGCTCAAAGTGACCGACTTTGGGCTCTCGCGCTTCTTCAAAGTTGGTGAGTTTTGCTTCTTTTTGGAGTTTGACGTTTTCGGACGTCGCGAGTACCTTCAGCGATTTTCGGGGACATATGTTTCACTTTGCGGCATCTTGGAGGATTGAGCGCTGCTCAAAGTGACCGACTTTGGGCTCTCGCGCTTCTTCAAAGTCGGTGAGTTTTGCTTCTTTTTGGAGTTCGACGTTTCCGGACGTCGCGAGTACCTTCAGCGATTTTTGGGGACTTGGATTTCACTTTGTGGCATCTTAGAGGATCGAGCGGTGCTTAAAGTGACCGAGTGTGGGCTCTCGCGCTTTTTCAGAGTCGGTGAGGCTTTCGGTTACTTTGGAACGTGACTGTTTGTTCGGGTTTGGCTATATTTCCATTATGGTACCTTTGAAAGGTTTAGTTTAAGGTGTCTTTTCATGATTGATATTTGGCGTATCTTACAGCCAGCATCTTTAGGACTTTGGGTTAAAGCTTCCCGGCTTTTGGGCGTTTTGAGAGGGTTGTAGCGCCTTAAGACTTCAGTGAGACGGAGACAACCCCAATTTCCAAGGCGGAAAGGTGGAAAAGCAGAACTGGTGCCACATTCTGTCCTGAAACGACAAGGGTCATGCAGTCAACAGGGACCAAGTGTCAGCGCGTTTCGCCTTCCCTCAAGTGTGTCCGACTTGACACAAGCTGTTGGAAGAGGTACTGGCTTCCGAAAAGAAGATCAGCTCTGTCGAAGAAGCAAGGCTCTTGACTGCTGGACAACGTGCACGTTGCATCTGTCAGAGCTGATCAAATGCATAGTGTTCCTTCGGATACTTAAAAAGCTCTCTGCAGGGTTTGGTATTGACTCACATGAGTTACGCCCAACCGCAAAGGTTACCAAGGCGATTCGGTCAGGTCGTCCGACTCTCCAACATCGTTTCATGGGTTGTTTCTGGATTCTCTGGCGGACTTTCTGATCGTGACTAGATTGGCTCATCAGAGCATTGTACGTCAGGCTGTTCCGCCTCCTCGCAAGACTGCTAAACCCATTCCTTAAACTGTGATAATGTCTGCACTTGCAACGCGCGGTGTCTCTGGTTCAGAGCAAGCTGGCAGGCATTATGATGCTAACGCCTCCCAATAGTAGCTTTGATCAAATCAGGTCCGTGTATCAACCCCAAACCCTCCGTGCATGCGAGCAGGCAGTCAACGTGGGGTTAAGCCCTCCAAAAACGCCTCTCTTTGACTGACTAACGAGACTTGACCCGTCGTTAAACCTTTTGCAGGCGAGGTTTACACCGAGGAAGTCGGGTCGCTCATATACAAGGCTCCGGAGGTGCTGCGGTGTCGGTACGGCCCCGAAGCGGACGTCTGGAGCGCGGGCGTGATCTTGTACATTCTTCTGTGCGGCTACCCGCCGTTTAAAGGCGGTAAGCTTCGCATGTCCACCACGTAAAAATTCTTTGAAAGTGTGGCTCTTCGCTCCAATCCCCTTCGGGGGCGTGGAGTGACTTCATTCGTGGCACTGGCGTGCCCCGCTTTGTTCAAAAACAGCAGCTCCGGGAGCTATGACACTAGAGGGAGTGAGTGTTGAAATGATCAATCGTTTGAAACGGATACAGTAACGAGCGGAAACAAAACCAAAGCGAACTGCAACTCACACAGGAAGGAAGTCATACGGGGACCGGCTCGATGAGGTTCCAGCTGATAAGTTGTCTCTGAATCTGGGAATCAGAGCATCTGTCTTCAGGAACTTCTGTCGGCGTCGTTTCAAACAACGCCCTTGGCCAAGCCTGCTCTTTTCTGAAACACCGATTCCGTTACTGTCAGTTTGGTTGGCGACTAACAAACCAGTCGACCATGCTGCTTCAGTCTTTCCCATTCACTGAGTTTGCGAAGTCCTGTGAAACCCTACTCGCGCTCTGCTGACGGCGCCGCCGCCAAGTGCAAGTCGACTGATCCCGGCGCCGTTCTTACATCGAGTGTCATAAAGCCCTCATACGTAGATACTTGTGAACCTTCGTTGCTCGTGTGTAGAAAACGGCCATCCGCGAGTTGATCAAGCGCGGCCCCCTCAACTTCGACGTTGTCATTCGAACCCGCGGAACCCTTAAACCGAAGACCCCAAGACCCTGGAAGCCTGAAGTCCCAACCCTGACTTATCTAAAAGTATTAGTTCTGCTCGCAGAACATGACGCCGCGCCCGTGAGATGATCAAGCGCGGCCCCCTCAACTCCGACCTCGCCCTTCATACCTGCAAAACCCTCAAGCCGGAAATGGTCAAAACCCAGAACCCCTGAAACCTTAAACCCTGGTTATGTAAAAGCAACATGTTTTGCCTGCAGAAAATGACAACGCCACCCGCGAGTTGATCAAGCGCGGCCCCCTCAACTTCGACGTCGCCCCCTGGCCCGAAATCTCCGAGAGCGCTAAGGACCTCGTCTCGCACATGCTCGACCGAGAACCCCGCCGCCGCTTCACCGCGAGCGAAGTCCTCAGTGCGTCTCGCGTATCCTCCAAATCTCCGCCGTTTAGACCGATTAGCTTCATCTTCCTTTGCATATGATGGGGCTCGTAAGTCTTCTGCTTGAGCTCTGCGCTTGGTCGAAGGGGTTCTGAAGATCCGTTTAAAGGCAGAGACCGGACGATTCCGGTTCCTGGAACCGCAGCAAAAAGGACCTTACTCGGTGTATCATTGACCTTTGTTTCGTTCCGTGAGTTTTTCGTCTGGTGGCGTGTCTAGACAGTCCGCTCGTGTTGTACCCTCAATCGGAGACCGCCAAGCTTGTGTTGATCATCTCTGAACCAGCCTTGCTGCTTGCTTGTCATCATAAGATGGTTATCCTTAACCAGAGACCACCCTTTGAATAGCAGAGGAGGCATAGCTGTCGACCGCGAGATTGACTACGTCGTCTTGATCATCTGTGATGAGTCTCCTTAACCCACTCCTAAACCCGTGGTTACCGCAGACCACCCGTGGATAGCGGAGGAGGGCGTTGCCGCCGACCGCGACATCGACTGCGCGGTCCTCCAGCGGCTGAAGCAGTTTTCGGCGACCAACAAGCTGCAGAAGATGGCGCTCAAGGTGCGTCCGAAAAATAGTCCGCCCTTTTGACTGGTAACCCTAGAACGGCTAACGATATATTGCGCAGAACAAATACCTGGAAGACGGGTGGAGTTAGTTGGGGGGTTAGTGTGGGTGCGGGTGTGTAGTACGCGCTGTTTTGAGTTAGGATTCTTGCTTTGAGCAATTTTCGGCGACCAGCAAGCTACAAAAGATGGCGTTAGATGCGTTCGAGCGTCGGATCCTCTTAACCCTGGTTTTGCCCCATTAGTATTTTTAAATCTCCTAAGGGTCCGGCTGTCCGCAGGGCTAGATTGCTGTCCGTCCGAACGCTGGATCGTCTCACTCATAGTTCTACAGCGTTCCGCTTTCAGGGACGCTCTGAGTTGCGACTGTCCGCTGGATCAACTTGCGGTCCGGACGGACCGTTCGATTGCCTTCCTGACGGTTGAGATTGCTCCCCTGATGTCCAGATGCCTGAGCAATTCTAGGTAATTGAGAGATGTTCTTGGCTCGAACGGTTTCGAGTATTCATACCTTGAGTGCCGGACAGATTTTGTGCTCTGACGAACGTCCATCTCTAGGTTTCACCTCCAGTATTCCGGTTCTCAGAACCTCATGCCTAAGAGCTTTTGATTTGAAGGTCAAAAACGAGGGCGTGGGATGTCCTGATTTCCCACAGACGGCTTGAACGTCCGGCATTCTTGGCCTTGCAAACCCTGAGCGGACTGAAGTTAGACAGCCTGCCGAATCTTTGGTACCGAGCTCGTGCACATTCCGTCAGGGGATCATGGGCGTCCAGCCAGAGAAGCTAGGAAACTGCTGGCAAACGGTTCTCTACATCGCCGTGACTTCCTGCAGATTGAAAGGACAAGCACAAGGGTTTCGGACGTTCGGACTGGTCCTAGAGTCTGCGAACAATCTGGCGCCGGAGGAGCTCCGCGGGCTGGCACTGCTTTGACAGCTCAAAATTTTATCCTCGCAGGTTTGCAAGTATGATGATTATTTCGGACGTTGGGACGGACATTCTACACGGTTCGGACAACATGATGTCCGAGAAGGTCCGGGCTGAAGCTGCTTTGGACATCGCGAGAAGTCTCTCAAACCCGCGCCAAGTGGCAAACGGGCGCGACTCTGGACGTTCGGACTGACGATTCAAGCTTTCGGACGCAGGTGATTGCAGACAACATGACGCCGGAGGAGATCCGCGGGCTGGC